CTCATAACGACCCCTCCTTGGGTTTCCGAGGCAGTATCACTACAGAAGTAGATTGCTCCATCTTCCTTCCGAGGAGTGGCTGGTGGGTTTGAACCGCCAGCCTCCTGGTTAGCAGTCAAGTGCCTTAGGCACTATGCTACCAGAGCTCCCAGCAGCTGGTGGGTTTGAACCACCAACCTTCTGGTTAGCAGTCGAATGCCTTAGGCACTGTACCACTAGAGCTTCTTGGATGGTAGTACTAGGGGGCTTAATATTCTCTTATGGGCTCTGAAGGTTGGAGAGGCTAAGTAAAATACCCAAGGTTCAACTAGTAACTGGTGAAGATGAAATTAAAACACAGGAAGTCAGACTCCAAAGTTATCATTCCTCACCCCGAAGAAAGCAGAGAACCTCAAGGTAACAAAGGGAAATCTCAGTCTTTTGCCTCATGGCTGGCACCTACTCCTTTCCCTCAAATACTATCCAACTTAAACCCAACTCCCCCCGTTTCTTCACCTTTTCTTTTTCCTCCTTCGTGCAGCTGGGTCTTCATCCTCATTGTATTCCCTTGGCATCCTAGAAGGGACAAGAAATTCACTGAGCAAAAAATATTACTAAATTATACATAAAATATAGTTACTTTTATTTGAAAGACATACCACTTTCCTTTAAGGAAGCAACCTGAAACGTTGAGGAAAAGCCTAGAATACTGACTGAAGCAGCAGTTACAATCAGGCAAAGGTCCACGTCAATAGCTGCAGGTGAGTGATTTTCAAACTTTAGAATTACTAGACCCATCTCATTGCTGTCGAGTTGCTTCTGACTCATAACAACCCTGTAAGACAGAGCAGAACTGCCCCACAGGGTTTCCAAGGCTATAAAGCGTTACAGAAGCAGACTGCCACATCTTTCTCCCATGGAGTGACTGGTAGGTTCTAACTGCCAACCTTTCAGTTAGAAGCCAAATTCTTAACCATTGTGCCAACTGAAGGGACTATTTAAATTATATATTCCCAAGTGTCTACCCCAGAGAGTCTGAATCCACAGGACTACAATGGGCCTAGAAATCTGCCTACTTATGCACAACTGACTATAGTATAAGTAGCTCAGGGAACATACTCTGAAAAATACTGAGACCCCAGCCTTCACTGAAGTCTCAATTTGCAGAGGGAGAAAATCAGAACCATTGGCTTGTACAAAAGGACTACCCTTCCAGCTCTAAAACATTATCATTTAGTAGATTTTCTATAAAAAGGAATCAGTATAAGCAAGGAAGAAACTGGGAGAAAAGATAGATCATCTCAAGACTTACTCATGGTGACGTGACTTAGAGGGTGGTGCAGAGGTGGGTGCAGCCCTTGGGGTCATGAGAAGTTTCCTAAAGTCCTCATTGGTGAGTTTTGATCTAAAATAAATGTCAAAGAATTAAAAAACAAGTACTGAGGAAAAAAACGAAAAAGAAATATGTAAAGAACATAGTTAACTTTACATGAAATCAGAGAAACACAAATTCAAACAAAGACATACCACTATTAATCAATCATAGTAACTATTAAAAAGTCTGATAAATCAAGTTCGAGTAAAAATCTGGGAAATGAATATTCTCATATACTGATGTTGAGAATGTAAGTCAGTATAGTCAATTTGGTGGTAACTTGACAGTATTTATTAAAATTTAAATGCATATATAGTCCTTGATTTAGCACCTACATTTTGCTATATTTAACCAATTACTAGCATATGTATATATATGTAGGCCTGTGTTATAGATTGAATTGTTTCCCCTAAAAATATATGCTGAATTCTTAACTCCTATATCCATGAATGTGACCTTGTTTGAAAATGAAAAGTTTTCCTGTTGTTATCAGTTAAGTCAAATGAAATCATACTGGCCCTAGAAAACGAACACAGTTCATAAAGGAGATTCAGTTAGTTTGGAAATAATAAAAATCTGTCCATTAATTGGAGAATAACTAAACTATGACAGTGTTTCCCAAATGTGGGATGGATAGCACTGATGATGCAACAGATCATTTTAATTGGTACACAGACATAACATTAATAAAATCAATCCAACCAATAAGAAACTTATTCTTTGTGATTGTCTTTTAATCCTTCACAGTACATCAAAGAAAAAACAAAAAGCATACAAGGAGGAAGTGGGATGAGTGCTCTTACACTGTGGAGATTGCAATCAATGGCATGAAATAAAATGTGTATGAATTGTTTGATAGGTAACTGGTTTGCTCTGTAACCTTTCACCCAAATCACAATAAAAAATTATTAAAAAAAAAAAAAAAAGGTGGTCCTGCTTGCTCTGTTGTCTCCTTTCACGGCATTTTCCTCCCTCCAAATCCATACTCTCACTGAGAAGATAGTCAGAACAGCTCAATGGGAGTGGGTTTGATTTTCAAAGCTCTGGCTTTATGCAAGGATCTCAGTCTCAGTACTTGCATCAAGCAAGCCGAAGGCCAGGTATCCCGTAAACCCAACATCCTTGGTTACTGACATGAGAGCAGCCAAAACACTGTTGTTAAATACCATCAGGTTGGTTCTGAGTCATAGTGACCCCTCACAGGTCACAGCAAAACAAAATATTGCCCAATCCTGCATAATCCTAAAAACTGTTGCTGTGTTTGAGCTCATCGTTGCAGCCACCGTATCAACCCATCTCGATGAGGGTCTTTCATTTTTTTTGCTGAACCTCTACTAAGCACTGGTCCCTCCTGGTAACGTGTCCAAAGTACACGAGATAAAGTCTCACTACCCTCACTTCTAAGAAGCATTCTGGCTGTACTTCTTCCAAGACAGATTTGTCTGTTCTCCTGTCAGTCCAATATTCTTCAATACCACAGTAAATCAGATGCACCAAGTCTTCTTTATTCATTGTCCAGTTATTGCATATATATGAGGCTACTGAAAACACCTTCGCTGGGGTTAGGTGCACCTTAGTCATCAAGGTGACATCTTTGCTTTTTTAACACTTTAAAAAGGTTATTTGTAGCAGATTTGCCCATTGCAGTAGGTCGTTTAATTTCTTGACTGCTGTTTCCATGGCTATTGATTATGGATTGAAATAATATGAAATCTTTGACAACTTCAATCTTTTCTGCATTTATCATGATGTTGCTTACTGGTCCACTTGGGAGAGTTTTTGTTTTATTTACATTGAGGTGTAATCCATACTGAAGGCTGTAGTCTTTGATCTTCATCAGTAATTGCTTCAAGTCCTCTTTGATCTCATCAAGCAAGGTTGTGTCATCTGCATATCACAAGGTGTCAAGAATTCATCCTCCTAAATCAGCAAAGACTTTCAGAAGATCACATCAATGCCTACTTATTACCACAGTTTCTAAAACTGGGACATTTCCCTTATTTCTGTCTTCAGATTAACCCAGTACAAAAATTAGTATAGAATAACATTATTTCATTTTGAATGGTCTACTTTTTTTTGGCTATTTTCTATTTATAACAACTGTTAATTGGTTTTCCATTTACAGTAGTGATATTAAGTTTCCTACTAAGTAAATATATTTAAGTTTTTAAGAAGGATATTAATAATAGTACAAGTAGTATGTGTCTATGGCAAGAATTCAGTGAGGTGGAACATAGTGAATGAATTTAGGAAAACACTAAATTATGTAATAGCTGTACTATATAATACTATGCAGCAGTTTAAAAACTGCCATGGAAAAATCTTTAAGATATTCCTAACTGAAAAAAAAAAGCAAGTAGCAAAATTAAACATAATATATAACTAATGTTCATTTTCTAAAAAATTAGCATCCTTACTGTCAGAATTCCCCTTCCAATAACTCTATATGTAGTTGGCCAGATCGAGTTAAAAGTTCACAGGGCTAATGTGCCAAGTGGTACTTTTAGGACATTCTCGCTGACAAGACATTCAGAGTTCTTCCATTACCACCACCAGCACCCCACACCCAACTCATTCCCATGGGCCTACAACAAAACACTCACTGGTGAAAGGAGTGAGGATCATCCACATCGTGGCCATCTGGGGCCAAAGGGTTGGAGAACGGTTCACCTAGGAAAAAAATTACATCAATTTAATCAGTATTTTATACAGGCCTTGTGCAAAAGCTCGGAATGTAACAGTTAACGATACAGACATGTTTCCTGTAATTGTAATTATGTAATTACATATAATTATGTGTTTAGATGGGTAAATACAAGGAGCTGTGGGAGCACAGTTGTTGTTGTTGTTATGTGCCGTAGAGTCGGCCCCGACTCATAGCGACCCCTCCTTGGGTTTCCGAGGCAGTATCACTACGGAAATAGATTGCCCAACCTTCCTTCCGAGGAGTGGCTGGTGGGTGTGAACCGCCAGCCTTCTGGTTAGCAGTCAAGTGCCTTAGGCACTTAACCAGAGCTCCTGTGGGAGCACAGTAGGGCCACTAAATCAGCAAAGACTTCCCGAAGATCATATCGAAACTACCATGTGCAAAATGAACAGGCGTAATCCAAGATAAAATGATTAAGGACGCAGGCTCGGAGGCAGGATCTGAAGCTGGCCGCCTCACTCCGAGCCCAACGGCCTCGCTGGGCTCTGAGCGTCACACACACCAATAACCCCCCGCTTAAGCTCCAAAGGCAAAGTAAGACGTCGACTGCCCTAAGTCCAGCAGTGGAGAAAAGGGGATAACCTGAGCCTTACTGTCTCTTTCCGGCATTTTGTCTGCGGTCTGTCAAGGCCAGCAAGAACCGAGACTACAACAACACAAAAACGACAATCTTTTCCCACAATACACCTCAAAAAGCAACCCACAATGCTTTGCGTTACGCTGCCATTCCGATTCCAGCCTCGCCCTTGCGTCATCGCTATAGTAACCAGCCAGCTCGAAGAGAAATTGGAAGAGGAGCTAAAGCGTAACCTAGAATGCGTTTATGTCAATGGCTAAATTCTGTCCCGCCCCCAATGTTGTCCGACCTATCGCAGAGGCTGGAGGGTACCCCATTGGTTGCATTGCGAGACTCCGGCTGGGGATTTAGTGCTACTGAAGATGGCGGCGGCAGCAGTGACTCGGGGGATCCCGGGAAAGCTGGTCTTGCGTGAGCTTCGTATCCATTTATGCCAACGCTCGCCCGGCAGCCAAGGCGTCAGGTGAGGCGCGGCGTGGTAAGGCAGGCGGGCGGGCTTTGGAGACTCCAGGGTCAAGACCTCCATCCACTTCGGGGAGTGGGGAAGCCTGCACCCACACACCAAGCACCGCGCTCTCTCCGTCCTTGCAGGGACTTCATTGAGAAAAAGTATGTGGAGCTGAAGAAGGCGAACCCTGACCTACCCATCCTGATCTGCGAGTTCTCCGATGTACAACCTAAGCTCTGGGCCCGCTACGGTGAGCGCGTGACGCTGGGGGTCTTGGACTCCGTTGGGGGAACGAGGAATCGAGAAGAGAAAGGGCCGCCCAAGGTCACCCAAAAACCTATAGCGAGACTAGAACTCGGTCTCTGGCCTTGTCACTGACCTTGCTGCTGATAAAGAATTTTTCATTCTCAGACTTATATGGTGCTTTGTATCCTGGGCTTCATTTATATGGAGGCGGTTACGGTCTCACATAGGGACCAGGAACTGTCGATTTTTTGTTTTAGTTCAAAACAGGCTTCAAATAGGAGGAAAGAGATGGTCAGTTCCCCTCAGTGCAGGCCCTTCTAAATAACGAGTGGGAATTGCCAGCCTAGGTAGAGTGTAAGACTCTAAATAATAAAAACGTAAAATAGTGACTCTGTCTTGAGTACTTAATGCTGAGTGCTTCCCAGCCGAATCTCATTTAATCCGAACAAATCATATTGAGGCGTGGGTTATTTTATTCTCAGTGTAAAGGTTAGAAAACTGGAACGAAACTTAAAGGAACATACCTAAAGTTAAACATAAGCTAAGGTACAGAATTGAGCCTTTACATTTCCTCCTCTTTCCTAGAATGAACCTATCCCAGACTTCTCTGGCCAATTCCTTGTTATTACTCATGGTGGACCTTATATATCACCTCAAGAGACATTCCCTGACTAATTATGTAACATTGTCCCCAGCTCCTTTTTACATTACCCCATTTTAATTTATTACAATCTGAAATTTTTATCATCTTAGCTGCTGTATCCCGACCACCTTTGCTGTGCCGAGTATGTAGCAACTTCCTGGGAGATACTTATATTTATTGAATGGTGGGATTATAATCACAGCATTTAACTACACCCTGCATTTAACTAGCCCAAGGACTCTGGGATGGGTGAATGAGGAGAGTCACATCTAAGGCAGATAAGTTCACCTAACAGTGGACATCTCACTAATAGATGTGTTGGAGGGACAAAAGCTCTCCTTCCACAAACCAATAGACCAAAGGGGAAGGGAGTCACAACTTTAGTGTATTGCTTTTGGTATTATATTAGATGGGTTATGGGAGCCCAAGGAATAGGCACTCAGCCAAGCCTAGACTCATATAATGAACTGCTCATAGTGGTTGCTATAAATGCCTACCCCCTCAAAAAAACCAAATCCATTACTGCTGAGTTGATTCCAACTCATAGCGACCCTATAGGACACAGTAGACTGCCCCATAAGCTTTCTAAAGGCATAATCTTTACAGGAGCAGACTACCACGTATTTCTCCTGTGGAGTGGCTTCTGGGGCAACCTTTCAGGTAGCATTTAACCACTACACCACCAAGACTCCTTTATAATGCCTGCGATGCCCTTGAAAACCTACCTGAAAGGTCTTTTTTCCCATTGTGGCCACCCAGAATCATCCACAATTCCATTTGGACCTGGGCTTCCTAGATGTCTTTGAGACCCCCTGGATAAAATCTACGTATACCAAATCCTTGGTCCTATTACTAACATAATTGTAAATTAAGGATAAGGCCCTTTTATTATATTTCTGTAGTCCCTACAGTGCAGAGTAGATATTTAGTCACCTCCTTCTTTCCTCAGGATTTGGCCAAGAGAAGAATGTCTCTTTGAACAACTTCAGTGTTGATCAGGTAACCAGAGCTGTGGAGAACGTGCTACATGGCAAAGCCTGAAGCCTCAACTGAGGATTAAGGGCAGCAGCTCAAGCCTGGGCTGTTTTGGACTGAGTATAATACAGAAAAACATTATTCTGTTCTGTATAAATTTTGTGCTATAAAATGCTGTCTCAGAATGTCCTTTTCCTCATTCCCCTATTCCCACCCCTTACTGTTCAACCACTGAGGCAAAGCAGTTTAATATAAAAATAAATTTATTCTGTCCTATCAAAACCCACCAGCTACTGAAGAAAAGATTATTTGGCCTCAGAATAAGTAGGCTGTTAACTGAGTTCCCCCAGTCCTCCTGCTTGGATGGTGCAGGGTGAAAAGGGAGGAGCTGGGGTTCAAAGGTCTTAGCTTAGGCTTAGGTATGGGAGCAAAGAGCATACAACCTCATTATGGCTCTGAACCTCTAAAAGGGGTGTTGAGTGACATCTAGAAATCAGGTCCCCTATGGAGAGCTGTTTTCCAGAGAGCATGCACACGATCCTTGAGCTGGGCTTCCTTCTCATGCCTTTCTAGAGCCTGCAGCCCTGATTGCTGCAGGAAGGCCTGGGCTGCCTGCGGACGGGAGAAAAGTATTTAATTCCTGGGTCTCTATACCCTGAGACTCAATTCCCATATCTAATAAAGTCAGACCATGAAAGTTAGCCCACTTCTTTGAAGAGGGTTCATTCCTAACAAGGGTCTGACTTAGTCTATATAGGCCAGCCAGCCCCAGAGAAGTAACTGTAGTTAGGACTGGAAGAGAAGAGAGCTATGGTGAGACCAGAGGCTTCAGAGCAGATGGACTGGGGACCCAGGCCAGAAACCAACCTCCGCCTGATAGAGGAACAACAGCTGCAGCAGCTCTAAACTCTGGCCCACTACTTCAGTGTCAGAGAAAGCCAACATGTCCAGCAAGGAGTGGAGCAGAGGCCCGGGCCACAGCCGCTGGCAGTAAGCAGGACCTTTCTCTGCAATGTTGCACAGTACTGTGAGCACCTGCAGAGAGAGACAAATAAATAGTTCCCACAAAGGAAAAAAGCCAAAGATGATAACAGCTAAAATATATAGAATGCTGACCACATGCCAGGCATTTACCATGTAAAGTAGTTTTTTTCTTTTTTAGTAATATTTTACTGTGTTTTTGGTGATGACTTAGCAGTTTAGGTTCCCATTCAATTTCTACACAAATGGTTTGACATTGGTTATTCTTTATGATGCATGAACACTGTCATTACTTCTATTGTTTGTTCTGTTTCCATCTAGTTTCCCTGCCCTCTTACATTCTCATCTTTGTTTTAAGAGTATTTGTTGACTGTTATGCCAAGCAGCTTTATATGCATGTTCTGTCATTCCCACAGCTACTCGCAGAGGACTGCAGTCCCCAAGTATAAATGATGAAACTAGCTTAAGGTGGTTAGTTGATTTGCCCAAGGTTAGTAACTAGTAAGCCACTGTCTAGGGACTCACACCTAGATTGGTCTGGCCCTGAAGTCATACCACACCACCCACCAGTTATCAGCTAAAGGCATTTCTCAGAGCTCAGGCTTGCTTCCATTGATGCTTTGGCTATACAAGGTCATATTCAGTGACCCCAATACCTACCAATACGCTCACCACGTTAGATACTGGCAATAGCTGCAAGAGAGGTTCAATCAGATGCAGGGAGAGCAGAGAGGTGCAGAAACTAGGACTGTTTGCTGGAGGGAGAAATACCAGGATGAAGCCTACAAATGGGCCTGAACCCCTTCCCCTATCCTACCCACTTCAGCCCACACCATGAGAAGTATCCTTAACTTAGTTTAAATATCCAGGCCTAGGCAGAGATTGTTTATACCAGTGAGGTTGTTAAGGAGCCAGAGACCCTCAGGAAGTAGGCTGGGCTGTTTCTGGAAGAAGAAGTGCAGAAGGATAAATAAGGCAGCCACGAGACGCTCATCTTCAAGCTGCCCTCCCATAGCCTCCACTTCTGCCTCTGTTAGCAGATTGCTGAGACACCGAAGCACAGGGCATGCCAGCTGCAAAGACAAGTTAGGGGTCAGGTGTAAGAAAGAAGAGGCTACCTGCACACCAAGAGGAGATGTATAGTATGAAGAAAGGTACCCCAGACTTTGATCCATCCTCTTCACCTACCAGTTCCAGTCCTGTGTCCTCAGTTCTCTGGACAGCTCCAGCTAAATCCACCAACAGCAGCCCCAGAGTGGACAGAGCCCCATGGGCAATGAGCAGGGGATTGTTGACCTGACTAGGTAAACAGGAAGTAATCAGTCAAAGCCATTTTTAAGTTGAGAAATAGCCTAGGTCTGTGCATCTCCAGGGCTCCAAGAAGACAGTAGCATAGAGGAAAGAAAATTCACCCGAGAAGTTCTAGAAACCAAAGTTCAAAACCCTAAGTTTTCCCTTCTATGGAAGGGAGCCCCAGGGAAGATCTGTAGCAGTTTGCCAATTGGCCTTTGTTACCTGCAGATAATGTAGTGAAGACACCAGGCAAACTCCACAGCAACCCCAGGGCTCAGCTTTGGGCCAGGCTGCAACAGCCGCAGCATGTGCTGATGAAGAGCAGAGCCCAGGATGGAACTGCCAGCAGAAGCAGGGCCATCAGTAAGAACCACAGAAGGCAAGATGCCAGTTGCTTTTCCTATTAGCAGGTGGGTAAGCATCCTACCCAAAGCTCTTCCCAGCCAAACACAACTGCCTTGGAAATGACTCAAGCAGACACCCAGGGCTACGCTACTGAGTAGGTCACCCCCCTGCTACACACTAGGAACACAATTTTACTTACGGAATTATCTTCTCTGGAGCTTCCTTAGCCTGCAGAAGCTGGGACAAGGCATACCCAAGGGCTTCCAGCACAGCCACATGGGGGGACTAGAAGCAGACAGGGTAGGTACCAAGCTAGACCATAAGGTCTCCTGAGACTTTCAGCCCCTTCACACAGGGCAGAGGCTAGAATTACCTATTCAAAACAGGTGGGGTATGTGGGAAGGAGTGAGGAGAGAGAATTACCCAGCAAGGGAGAAGGGAGGTAGGCACTCACCTGGATGCAGGCAGCCAAGGCTGGGACAATGCCCTGTGGCAGGAGCTGCCTTCTCACAGCCTCACTCCCCACGATCAGGTTACCCAGTGTATACAGACATAGCTCCTGAGAGAGGGCAACAAAAGCACTGCGCTTGGCCTGTCTAGTGCCAGGCTGGAGTAAGGAGAAGGGAGTAGAACAAGCCTGTCAAGGCTCCCGGCACGAGAGGGTAGAAGATGATTGATTAGTGTAAACATGGCTGTGGGCTAACAGGTTTTCTTCTCTCTACCTGCCAGCTCAAACTAGACCCAAAAGCACCACTTTTTAATCCAAGCCAAGAACAAGGTAGGAAGGGATGGGGCTTACTATGAAGTCTGAGCTGTGACCGGAGAGGTAGGTGAGGAGGTAGGAAGTGGCTGGCAGGCAGGCCTCAGCCACCGCAGGCTGCTCAGAATGAGAGAGCTCATGCAGGCACCGAGCCGCCTCAAGCTGCAGCAGGGCCTTGTTGCTTGTCAGGAACCCGACTAGGGTACGCATGCTACCCTCCAGCCTACATGAGTAAGCACCAGAGCCCTGTTCAGTCTGTGGCCTGTCCTCCACCCTACTCCCACCCCCCACTCCTGTCCACTTCCCAGGGCCCCACCCACTCACACCACCCACACTGACCGGATGAAAGTCTGCTGTGTCTCAGGGTGCTGTAAGCCTTGACGAAGGCTGACCAGAGCCTTCTCTTTCTCCTTTTCCTCTGTCCCCCGCTGGGCTAGCCGCAGAAACTGCTGGATCTGGAGGCCAGGGCAGGGGGAGGAAGACAAAATTACCAGGAAGCAAGTCCCGAGTCCCACTCTGCCCACTCCACCCGTGAGCTGTCCACTGTCACACCATTTTCAGAACTTGTCGTTCTCAAGAATATAGCTAATAAGCACCAATCCTGCAGGAGAGTGTATAAAAGGGAATCAGAACATGGTTCTAATACAGCCCTGCTGCTCTACAAGGGACTTGATCCTGAAAAATGGGAATAAACATTTATCCTGCCACCTTCATACAGGGTTATTTCAAGGTAACACTTAAATTACCTCTCAGCCTGGCTTAACCTACCACTCCAGCCATTCTCATTGCAACCTACACACCTAGCATAACATGCCTTGTTTTTTCCAATGTTTCCAAGCTTTTGTACATGCTATTGCTTCTGCTTGGGATGCTCCCTAGACCCGTTTCCTTCAGATTTCAACTCTGTCATTGCTTCTGGGTAGCTCTTCCAGGTTTCCTCAGCAGATTTAGGGGTATCTATTGTGCCCAAGCTTCTTTTCTTTATAACAGGTATCACACCTGGGCTGTAAGCTCTTCAAAGGGACTCTTTTCACTTTTGTATCTCCCAGTGCCCAGCACAGTATCTTGGCACTAGGTATGCAAACAACGAATAAATGGAATGACCCCAGACATAAGTGCTTTGTAAGCTATATATGTAAACACACAGAGGATCCCCAAGGCTTGCTAAAACCAATTCTTTTCTTCTTTCATTTAATAAATATTGAGCATCTACTATATGCTAGAGATTGTGCAGCCTGCTTGATTTTCAGTGACGACAACATAGGGTGTAGTTTATCGTGGACTTGAAGTCTAGGTGGAAAGCAAATGAAAGCAAGCGAAGAATTAGATGGGATTAATATCCTGTGAAAAACAAACAGGCTACCAATTCCAAAGAGGGCCCACTGCAAGTGCCAGGGCCATGAGACAGGAAACAGCCTGGTATGTTGTTCAGAAACTAAAAAGAAGTCAGTGTGCCTGAGATGAGTAAGTGTATAAGGGTGGAGATAGGCAAAGGCCAGACCATAGTGGGCTTTGCAGGTCACAAGGATTTCGGTCTTCGTGTGTGTTTTAAAGACCCATCTGACGTGTGAATGAACTGGAGGGCAGCAAGCTAGATGCAGTGTAACCCATTAACGGGCTGCTGTAGAATCCAAAGAAGAGATGACTGGGGAATGTGCGATGGCGAGGCATGTACGGGCTTATTAAGAGGTAAAACTGTTAGGACTTGATTTATACGGCAGTGAGGGGCAGGGGAGTATCGAAAATGATTCCCTGTTTTCCAGCTTGGCCCACTAGGAGAACGAAGTTGTTGTAGACCACGTTCAGGTTTGGAGACCATTCTCCAGTACTCGCTGGAGAAGCTAGTGAGAGGGTTTGGCGCCAGATGGCGTAGACAGCACTGCGCATGCTGGCTCGCCCCGGGCCCCTCACCTCGGCTTCCCCGAGGATCGTGGCCACCCCTCCGGCTTTCTCCAAGGCGTCGTCTCTCAGCAGCCTCTTGCTGACCAGCTGTTGCTCCCTCCGCGCCTTCCGCAGTGCTGAAGGTAGAGAAGCTGACTGAGCGTCGGAGGAACGCCCAGGCTCCAGGACTAACGGGTCCGGACCAGTGACTTCTTAACCCCCTACCCGACCGCCATACCCCCTCCCTGTGTTCCCTTGCCCGCCCGCACCTGCCTCCCGCTCCCGCCGGCAGCGCCGTAGCTCTTCCACCCCGCAGCCCACAGGCCTGAAGCGGCCCTGCTGTCGCTTCCACATGGCAGAGATAGAGGAAATCCGCAGGGAACGCAGTGGCCACAACCCCGCCCAACGTCCTGGAAGATGGCGTGATCAGCCGCGCCGCAGAGTGAGGCGGGGTAAGGAGGGGCGGAGCTAGAGCAGGGCGGGGCGAGGGGTGCGGCTCGATGTGAAGGAGGAACTAGACGCGAAGCACAAAGTGAAGGTAGGGCGGGGCAAGGAAATCAGGCTCCGGTCAGGCTCGGCGAAAGGCTGTAGACTCGGACCTTGCTGCCCCAGCCCGCTCGGCCTCTGATTGGTTTCCTTTGTTCCTAATTTTGGAAAACAAAATAAACTCACCCAACCCGGGTAGACCTAGGTTAGTAACGTCACCATCCAGTCAGCAAACAAAACCTCTGAAAAGATGAAACTCAAGCTATTCAAATTGTCATTAAAAATCCTAATCATGTCTTTAAGCTTTAACTTGCAGCACACCTTAACAACAGGAGCATTCTAGCTGCGTTTGCGTCTCAGTTATAAGAACTGCCTAAACATCTACTTCTTAGAATAACCATAGACCCAGAAACAGCTAACTGGGCTAGAATTGAAAGCACCTATGAAAAGAACAAATATGTTATCTATTGGAACATCTATTCCTAACCACAAACCCAGATGTCCTCGCTCCCTGTTATGCTCCATTTTAGCCTTGCTTGTAACCCAATAAAAGACAAGTGTTACTTTACTTCTGGGCTGACACTTCTCAGTGTGCTAAGCTGGCACTTTTCTGTGTGCTAAGCCCCTTTCCTCTCTTGGAAAATGCATAAACCTTTTCTTTAGCTTCATTCTTTGCCTGAAGTGAATTTTTTCACAACCCCACCGGGAGAATCAACCTAACAATCTCCTCGGCCCAAACGCACGCGTAAAGGATCATTCAGTACAAACACCCCCTAGTTTTGAGAAGTCGCGCTGAGATTTCCGCCGTTACACGGTTCTCGCTGATAAACGCTGGCCCTAGCGCGCCCTGCACCAAGCCAAATGTTGAACGCACATTACCTCGTTGAAAGTTCGCGACTACAAACATTATTCCCATTTTACAGATGAGGAAAATTAGATAAATATAATAATCTCATTATCCTGCATAAAAGTGAGTTCCCATTAGTTTTTAGGATAAAATAGTTATTTCACCAGCATTTGAGCACCACTACTTTCGACGGCACATAACAACAACAACAACAACTTTACTAAGCACTAGGAAAATATTAGTGAAATTTAAAAAAAAGAAACTCCTCACATTCGAAATCCGAATTGATTGATTGTGACAATGGCACAGGCAGTATTTCATTCTGTTGTACATAGGGTCACTATGAATGGAAATGGATTCCAAGGCACCTGACAAGCGCTGCATGGTCAGGTCCAAACGTATATCTCCAGTCTCAACTGGCACCAAGCCTCACCTTACCTCTCCTGGCATCTTCCTTTTGTTCTAAACAAGCCCTGCTCTTTTCCTCCTGGGACATTTGCATAGGCTGTTCCCTCTGCCTGGAGCCCTTTCTCCCCTCTGAACATCTTTCCCTTAAGTAGCATCATCTTCAAGACTTCAGGTGCAATGTCATCTCCTGGGAACTTCTGAAGCACTGCCCCTCTTGTAGAATATATATATATACATATGGCACCATGTACTTCTCTTTGATAATCCTTTTGACATCTGTCATTTATGGTTTTACTGTTTGATGTTTGTCTCCTCCCTTCCCCCTCTCCACAGCTCTTCTAGGTTAGAGTCTTATTGGCTGCATCTAATTTTCAAAAAGGCAGTACTTATACAAAGGTACACGTAAGAACAAACTGAGGAAAGAGAATTGTTCTTCAGACCAACTTCCTTCTCTTGAATCTAACTATACCTACCCTTAGGCGTCAATTGATGAAGTTTACAGTCTATTCCCAAAACAGCCAGTTAAGTATCTGCAGACCATCCTCCTGTCCTCCACATCTCTCTAGTCCATCCATCCCTGGGCAACCATTTACTGAGCATTCCTGTGCATCGTGCTCTGGGCTGAGGATAGGCCCTAAGCCTTGTCTCCTTCCTCACGTGACGGTGGCATATAAAGCCATAATTTGCTCCCAGGGAGGAAGGGAAGTCCCAGAGCAAAAGCTATGTTCTGCACAGCATCGGTTCAAACAGTTACTTCTGCCCAAACTGTCTTTCTGCCCTCATCTACCTAGAAACACTATTAACATTATAAGGGACAGCCTCCATATGTTTGTTGTCTTCTACAAGGCTCACTGTCCCTTCCTCCAGAACCCCCAGGAACCCATAGTTTCTCCTCTGTAGGAGTCTCCCTCACCCTGGATTGTAATTCAATGTCCCTGTTTACCTCCCTCAACTGCTAAGAGCACTTGGTCACGTATGTATCTCAAGGTTTGGCACCAGGCATGGCACTTAGTAAATTGATGGCAGATGTTTCTTGAATCAAAGTGTGAGGTGAGGCTCTTTCCAGAACCATCCACACCTGCAGAAGAAAGATGAGACAGTCTGCTTCTGTAAAGATTTACAGCCTTGGAAAGCCAATGGGGTTCACTATGAGTCAGAATGAACTCAATGGCAGTGAGTTTATTTGTTTTTGTATTGTCCTTTTTAGCTTAGACCCCTCCAACTCCAAAGAGTGCCTTCCAGAAGGTATTGGGCTCTACTGAGCAGACAAAGCTTTAAAGATCTGAGTCCTCTGGATTCAAAAACTCTGAGGAAGAGGAATAACAATCAACACTAACATCAATATAAAGAGCCTTGGTGGTACAGTTACGTGCTCAGCAGTTGGTGATTTGAAAGAGCTCTCTAAAGATTACAGCCTGATTCTACTCTGTCACATGGGTTCATTATGAGTCAAAAATCCACTCAACAGCACCTAACAATAACAATAATAACAATAACAGAAGGAGCTCTGTGCCAAGGACTTTACTCACACAGTATTATTATTATTTCCATTTTACAAAGAGGGAGCCCAGAAAGCTGAGGCCTAGAAACTTGCTCAAGTCTCATAAGCTCAGTGATAGAGCTAAGATTACAAACCAGGCTGTCTGATCTGACTACAGGACTAGTGTATTTAACACCAGTCTGTACTCACATCTTCGTCCTCATCCTTCGGATGTCATTGTGCCCTGACCTGGCCTTGGGGCAAGGCCCCCAATGTGAGAATATGCCAACAGATACACAGGGGCAGTATGGTCTGAGGAGATCTCCTTGTTTTTGTTGGGGACAAATGCACAGCTGTTCCAGGAATAAAGGGAAAGTGAAATTTAAAAAAGACTTTCATGCAGCTCTTTATCCAGGGATCCGACTAGAGGGCACATAACAACAACAACATAGGTCTGTGAGAGATATGGTAAAATCATGGCCCCCTA